ATGTTGAGGGCAAGCTGTGCTGCAGCATGATGGTCAGGGATCTCCCTTTCTTGGGGTAGAGGAGTCCCCACCTGTGACTATCTTTAGGCCTTCTGCTCTTGATGAGCTTCTCCAGAGAGGAATCCTCCCATGTCTTCTGCCGTGGCCTGTAAGCTTTGCTGTCAGATCTCATAACTGGGGGCTGGGGTGGGGGAGATACATCTCGGGCCCATCAGTCTGCATATAGCATTTTTCTTAATCTACTTTTTCCTTAGCAGTTACAAGTTTTAAAAAAAACACGAAAAGAAAAGAGCACTCATGAGTTTAGCTCTTGAATCTCTCTCCATGTTCTTAGAATTGAGCCTTTTTCCAGAGAATAAACTTGGCCTCCAGGATGAGGGAGTGGAAGGGATGCTCCAGGCTTAAGAAATGCTGGGGTGGGGGGGTCTCACTTTTCCTTCAGTAGTTTTCAACCAGCCGCGCTACTGGATGTCACCCATGCCCCTGCCTTCCGACGGGCCTGCTGTCACAAAGGCCTCTGGCCTGGGCTCCCCCTCCCCCCACCCCCACTCAACACTAACCTTTATGCTCTGTCTGCTCCACTGCTCCTTGGCAGTCTGTTTCCTACATTCAGAGGCGTGGTTTCTGGCCAGTGGCTCTTTCTCCTTTCCTTACTGGTCTCTGTTTAATCTTTTTGCTACAACTTTAATGTTGTTTTGAGAGTGAGTGGAGGCAAACACATATCATCTGTTCGGTTCAATGCAAAGTATGCACAAATTCTCTAATGAGTGATTGTGGGGGGACAATAAAACCTATGGCTATAAATTTATCTTGTTTTATAGCATTTGAGGTTCAGCTGTTTGTGAAAAGCGATTTAAATACAAGGATCATGCAGGAGAACAGTTGTTTATATTCACTTAACATTTCCTCTAGTGAAAGGGAAGATCAGAGACAAGTAGGATGCATACATGATTTGCTGCCTCTGCAGCCAGCGTCCATGGATGTTGATGACTGGGTGGTGGAAGTTCCCAGTGCCTGGGCTTTTTCTAGAATTGCATGTTTAATCCAGATTTCCTAGTTGTAGAAGTGCTCAATGGTGATTCAGGGCATGGGCTTCAAAACTGCATAGACCAGGGTGTGAATTCCTTCCTGCTTTGTCATGTGTGGGCCGTGTTCAGATGAGAACAACTTATTTGAACTTCAGTTTCCTGACCTAAAAATGAAGGAAATTGTACTTTTCTCCCAAAGTTGTTAGGAATGAGTGAATTAATGTATCTGTGTGCTTTGCCTTGTGTGACCACTGAATATATGTTTTACTTACTTTGGTATATTCTAGGTCTCCTTTCGTATGTGACATTCCTGTGATTTACTGTGCCTGGGAACCAAGTGGGCCTGGTCTTTGTGCGTGGGTTTTCCCCTTTTAGCAAGAGGTTCATTCACTCACCTTTAGGGTCTGGGACATAGTAAGGCCTGAGTTAGGGGACATGAGGAGGGAGGGGTTTTGTTTTGTTTTGTTTGAGACAGAGTCTCACTCTGTCACCCAGGCTGGAGTGCAGTGGCGTGATCTCAGCTCACTGCAACCTCTGTCTGCCAGGTTCAAGCGATTCTCATACCTCAGCCTCCCAAGTAGCTGGGACTACAGGTGCACGCCACCATGCCCAGCTAATTTTTTTTTTTAAGTAGAGATGGTGTTTCACTATGTTACCGGAACTTGTGAGGCAGTCCGCCCGCCTTGGCCTCCCAAAGTGCTGGGATTACAGGTGTGAGCCACCGTGCCAGGCCTGGGTGCAGTATTTGAACCTAGGTCTGCCCAACTCACGAGTCCCTGCGTTGAGCATCCTGGCTTCTCAGGGTTGAGTCTTTCTGTGAGTGAGGGATTGGATCTGAATAGAACTGTTCCAAGACAATTAAGCAGGCAGGCACGTGGATGCTTTCTGAAGGCTCTGGGTGACACTGGGTTCCAGGATCCAGACATTTACAATAACCATCATACATTAATGAAAGAGCCCACATTTTAAGAAAGTGCTTACTATTAGAGAATATTTTTAAAGACTCTGCTGGGTAGGTAGATTGGAGCCTGGAAATAGATCTCTTTAGATTTGCTGTTACTGTACCCTAAAGAGTTAAGGGGAGCAGAAATACAGGCACTTGTTGAACAGTGGCCATGCCTTCTCATTGGACAAATCATCAGACAATAATAACAAAGAGATTTACCGCCTCAGGTCCTTCAAATGGACGAGGGCAGATGAAGGGAAAAGATGTCAGCAGTTTATTTTACCTTAGGGAGTAAGTGGCAAACCAGAAGTGTATATGAGTTCTTGTCTTTGAGTTCTTATCTTTGTTCTGGTTCCTTTTTTTCTTTTCTTTTCTTTTCTTTTTTCTTTGAGAGAGGGTCTTGCTCTGTCACCTTGGCTGGAGTGCAGTGGTGCAATCACGGCTTACTGCAACCTCCAACTTCTGGGCTCACGAGACCCTCCTACCTCAGCCTCCTGAGTAGCTGGGACTACAGGCAAACACCACTATGCCCAGCTAATTGATTCAATTTGTATCTGCCCTATTCAGGCCCTTCTTTCTAGTTTATGTCTCTTACACAGCAAGTAGTTTAGCTCCACCCCCAAACCCCCACAAGTCTTTTTCCCTATGCATATTTACATGTGGATATATATATATATATATATATATATATATATATATGTTGTAGATAAAGTCTGGACACTGTTGAATAGCCTACATCCCACACTTAGATTGCAATTATATGTTCCCTTCCCCCGTAACCATTCCATTTTAATCTTTGTAAAAGTTCCCTTTATGACAGGGTTAAATTATGAAGACTGCCATGTGATTAAATACTACATGAATCATTTAAAAGGGATGGTTCCTAAAGTTTGAAACACCATTCTTATTTGTAAAGTAGTATTAGCTTATTTGATAACAGTCTAGTTTAAGATGTAGTACACCCATGTAGCTGGCTAGGAATTAGATTATTTTTATAGTAGTATAAATGCTTTCGCAGTATGCCTTTAGATGGCAGCATCTCTCACCGTAAACCATCTTTTGAACAGAATTTCTTAGATGCAGAAGGCATTTGAGACAGAAGGATGGTCTATCTGCATCACCCCATCATGATGCAGTGGTGGAATTGGGCCCCTGGGACTGTCAGAACTATGGCCCAGGGCTGAGAAGAGGGGAGAGTTGTAGATTCCTGCCTGCATGTCTTCCACTACCCCTTCTCTTACTGATGTAAAATGTTTCCTATCTCTGTGGTCTTGCTAAAAGCCACTTTAAGGCAACCAAGGAACACAAGAATCAAGGGAGTGATTTTGGACCAAAATGTAACAGAAAGGCATATTTTCTTTATTTTGAGACATGGTTTCACCCTGTTGCCCAGGCTAGAATGCAGTGGTGTGATCTTGGCTCACTGCAACCTTTACCTCCTGGGCTCAAGTGATCCTCCCACCTCAGCCTCCTGAGTGGCTTGGACTTCAGGCACACATCACTATGCCCAGCTAACTTTGTTTATTTTTTATAGAGACAAGGTCTTCACTGTGTTGCCCAGGCTTGTCTCAAACTCCTGGGCTCCAGTGATCCTTCTGCGTTGGCCTAAGTGCAAGAATTACACGTGTGAGCCACCACGCCTAGCCTTTTAATTTTTTAAAGCAGTTTTGTTTAGGTATAATTCACATCCATACAGATCACCCATTTAAAGCATACAGTAGACTAATTTTAAATATATTCATAGAGTTGTACAGCCATCCCTACGACCTAATTTTAGAACATTTGTTTACTCTAGAAAGAAGTCACATATCCCTTACCATTACCCCACAGGCCTGCATAGCCTGCATAACCCCCAGCCCCTGGCAACCATTTATACTTTCTGAAAGATTTGGCTATTCTAGGCATGACATATGAATGGAATCATGTAGATCCTTTGTGACCGGCTTCTTTCACTTAGCAGAATGTTTTCAAGCTTTATCCATGTTGTAGCATGAATCAATACTTCATTCCTTTCTACTGCCCAATAATATTCCATTGTGTGAGCAAAGCACATTTTGTTGTCATCATTTGACGTACCTTTAGCTAGTACAAATGGCATTACTATGAGCATTTGGGTACAAGTTTTTGTGTGAACATATATCCCCGTAGGAGTAGAACTGCAGGGCCATGTAGTAACTCTGCCCTTAACCTTTTGAACAACTGCCAAACTGTTTTCCAAAATGGCTGCATCATTGCATGTGAGGGTTCCATCCAGTCTTACGAAGAATTCCAGATTTTCTGATGATAAGCCGGGACTGTGGGAACAAGAGGTGGGAGATAAGCCTGTCGGTCTCTTGTATGTCTGACCAGCTGACTGGCTGCTGTGCCGCGCACAGTTACTGTGCGTCACTAGCTAGATAAGATACCTGCAGAGCATGCTGCTGTTACAGGCTGGCTGTTTGTAATCTTGCCTCCCAACTTTAGAGATACCAAGCAACCAAATCATCTTTGTCTCATCCTTGTGCCAGTTAGAGGAAAATCATAAAACCCTTCGTCACAAGCCGTCCAGGTTTGAACATGTCAGAATCACCCACTTGACCAGCGAAGACAGCTGTAGTGACTTCACAGCAAGAGAGCAGCTTTTGTTTTTGTTAGGGTTTACATTCTCAAATCTGAGCTTACCCTTTTCTTCTTTGGCAGGCCAGACTGGACGTTCCCTCGCCTGTACTGAAATTACGTGTGTGTGTGTGTGTGTGTGTGTGTGTGTGTGTTTAAGGGAGGCGAAGGGACTGGCTCTTCCTCTAGGCATATTTGGGTCCTGGTAAGGACACACACTGTACATTCCAAGGCTTTGTTTGCATCTGGAAAACATTAGCCACACTCAGAGATCTTTCCCACTACAGGTCCCGTCAGGAAGCCCAAGTATGTGGAAAGCCCCAGAGTGCCTGGAGATGCAGTTATAATGCCATTCAGAGAAGTATCCAAGCCAACAGAGCCTGATGAGCATGGTAAGAACATGTTTTCAGTGATTCCCCCCTCCCCCAACCAAAGATTTTATACAATGACACTTCATTTCTGAATTAAACTTGAGTGCCCTTGCTGTACTGCTTTGCTGAGAATGTATTTGGGAGCTATTTTCCCCTCCGGCAGTTACAGAGATCTGTTTAGCTAACACACATTCTTGGAAATTGTATACCTGGTATAGAAAAGTGGGTACATATGCATTATTTAAGGATTGAGTCCTGATTCCTCTGAATTTTGACCTACCAGGTCTTGGAGGATAGGAGGCATCACCCAGTGGATTGCTTCCAAGATTTTGTTTTGTTTTTAATACTCTACTGCTTGAGAAAATTCAACAACAGGCTTTGGCTGAAAAGCTGAAACTTTAACTGGACAAAGCATGTAATTGCTAGCTTTAAAAAAAGCATTTGGTGTCTTTTGAAGGCTGCTTTTTTTTAACATGTAAAGTTTTTCTTTAGGGGATGTTGAAGTAGGAGCAAAAAAAAATCCAAATTGATGGGAATCTTTTTAAAGACATTTTATATGTATATATATTTTATACCTGGAAATATGTGTGACATTACAAATTTGTAGCATTTAACAGATGTATTCATAGTTGTTTATTTTTAAAAATTAGTTTAAGAATTTACCTGTTTGTTCCTTGCTGGGGAGTCCCCAACTCACATCTCTCTTGCCTTTAATTTGGGTGTTTTGAATTTCTACCCTGTTTTTCTGCAGAAACATGGGACTAGGAATCTTGTTGTATGTAAAGGGGCTTGCTTTATCCTCAGTGTGGACACAAGTTTATGTAGCAAAGCTGAAAGAGAACTTGGGAAAGAGAACTCAACCATATTTTTACTTTGGCATATCTGGCACCCTCCTCTGCCTAATTGTGGGTGGTGGGAGATACAGACCCTTTATATTCTAACTCCTGTGTGTGCCTTTTGTGTTGCTGGTGCTGTATGGCAGGGAGTGGGTAATAAGTAGGACATGGAAGGACAATATACTGGAGTGGTGGTTAAAAAAAAAAAATACAGATAAAAATGAGCTGTGAAGAAGAATCAGCAAAAGCTGAAAATTGGGAAGGGAAGGGGAGTTTGGAACATGGGGAAGAGATGGGGCCAGGCACTGGGCACTCTGGGCAGGCAAGAGGTGCTATTGCAGGTGCCCTGGCATGAGAAATGCCACCCTCTTTCTTTCTGTCCAGGCATTCATTGTGTGGTTGAGGGAAGAGGATTTGAGCTGAGGATTTGCACACACCAAATGTTGGTGAAGGTGGAGATTCCACAGTGGGATCTGGTTAGGACAGCCAGCTGCTGGTACATGAGGCCTCTCTTGATTGTGCATTCACGTGGGCAGGTGGTCTGTTCTCGGTCTTCTTGGTGTCCTGAAAGGAAAGTAAAATCTATCTATCTGTAGTGAATATCAGTCATCAAATGTCTAAGCTGTCTGCCTGGCTCAGATTAAGCCTGCTACCTACCCCTTCCCTTCTTCCCCACCCACCAAAGCCTTTGTAGCCCTGGTCAATTATGCCCCTGGCATTTTGGCTGGCCTAGACTCCATTATGTAACCTCTTCCTCCCTGGCTGGGAGTATCGTTGAGGTTCTGTACAGGGATTGGGACCTCCTCCTCCTCCTGGTGTGGGAGTGGGGGGAGAAAATTTGGATTTTTATTAGGCAATGAAAGGTTATAAATAGTTCCCATTGTTAACTTTTCTCCCTTGCTCAAGGCAGGATTGGCCACCTTTCTTGGCAAAAGGAAGTGTTCTTATGCTTGGCTGTGGGCTGAGCTAAATTTCAAATGCAGCAATTGGTCTTGCTGGAGTGGCCTGAAGTTCGCATGTGTGCTCACTCCTGAGACCTGAGCTCTCTGATTCGGCATCTTGAGTCTCCATGGGGACCAGAATTACGAGATCTATGGGCTGCAAATACAGGACCAGACATTTGGGTTTTGCCTGAAATTAAGAAGCAGGGTATGTTTTCATTTTTGTTAGGTGTCGCGGGAGCAGGTGTAGTTGATGTCTGTGGGTGCATGGTCTTGCCTGAAGATAGCCATGATGTTGGTGGAAGCCGCAGCAGGGTGAGCTTTCTCTTGGTTGATGAGGAGAGGTGGCTGCCTAACAAAGTCGAACAGGACAATTAGTATAGATTGGTGTGTTTTGTAGTCCCCATGGAGTCCCTTAAATTTCAGTGGGGTTAATTAAGTCTGCCTTATCAAAGTGTAAATTTTATCCAGATCACCGAACCCAAAGGGAACGACAGAGCCAACTATAACTAATTGAGTTTGAGTGTTAGCCCGGGTGTGTGCAGATGCATGATGGGTAAACCCTCATTTTTAGGGTTTAATATCAGCATCATCACTTAAGTTTTACTTCAAAATGTGGTCTTCTGTTATCTGTATTTTCTTTGGACATTCTTGTTTAAATTTCTAAGACACTTTTCTCGGAGCTGTCAATAATAGCATGCCAGTATTCACCAGACTAACAGACTCCACTGAAAAGGCTCCTTGTGAAGTGCTTTTGAAATTTCCATGGACTCCTGAAATATCAAGTTATTCCTAAATGCTCGAAATACTCTTTCCTGCCTCACATTTGCTTTGGTCATGTAGCTCCATCAACTCTTGATTCTTAGCTCTCTGGATTTTAAATCAAAGGAAAACAAAGCAAAGAACACTTTGAATTTGCTTATTTATAAGTAATTGCATTTATGTGTGATGCATGTTTCAGTCTTCTGGGAAGTATGGGTTCAATGATATAAGAAGATGAATTTTTTTTTTGTAAGCAAATAACTTGTTTCTTAAAGTTTGCAAGCTGGGCACTGTAGCTCACACCTGTAATTCCAGTGATTCAGGGGACCGAGGTGGGAGGATTGCTTGAGACTGGGAATTTGAGAATAGCCTGAGCAGCGTAGTGAGACCTTGTCTCTTTAAAAAAGGAAGGACAGAAAGGAGTTTGCACTCACCTGGAAACATCTTTAGGAAAAAACATTCTGTCTTAGTATGTTTAAATATATTTGGAACACAGCATTTTCTACTCTAGGAAAAATGGATGACATAATAAAATCATCAAAAAAAATACAAAGCCCATTTTCCTGTCAAATGGTCCTAATAAGGTGTGTGTCAGAATAAGTTCTTAATGAATAAGCTTCCTATTGCTAAATCAACATATTGTTTAGGGGAAAACTCATTTACCCACAAAACAATATATGCCTTAAGGGAAAAAAAGCCTTCAGATAAATTAGAGATTATTATTATAACAGGATCCACGCTTTATTTCTTTGATTTAGGGGCAACTATAATTTATTTAGGTTTGCATTAATATATCTCTAGCTACTTGGGCAAGCTTTGAGGAGGGGTGAGAAAGTTTTTAGTCTCATGAGTCATTGCTCTGTGAAGATCAGTCTCAAAATATGATGAAACTTTTTTTTAATGATCGCTTCATGTCAGCCGGTGATGGAACTTTTTTCCTGGCAGTCTGACTAGCAAATAAAGCTAACACATATGAAAGAGCAGAGTAATTCAGTGTGAAACTATCTTCTGGGAGGGAGGGGTCTTTAGTTATATGCTTAAGTAAATATTTTGACACCTGATTTTTTTATTACCATTTTAGATGGTCAAACAGATATAGAGGATTAAAGAGGTAGAAAGAATAAAGAGGCTCGGTGTGGTGGCTTGCGCTTATAATCCCAGCACTTTGGGAGGCCTAAGGGAGGAGGATTGCTTGAGCCTAGGAGTTTGATACCAGCCTGGACGACATAGTGAGACCTCCACATCAACAAAAAGTCAAAAAATTAGCCAGGCATGGTGGTGTGCCTCTCTAGTCCCAGCTACTCAGGATGCTGAGGTGGGAGGATTGCTTGAGCCAGGGAGGTGGAAGCTGCAGTTAGCCATGATCACACCATTACGCTGCAGCCTGGGAGACAGAGTGAGACCCTGTCTCAAAAAAAAAAAAAAAAGGTGAAAAAAAGAGTATGATTGAAGAAAATGCATAGTCATGTTTTATTTCTTAAAACCCTGTCTTTCCCAAGAGGTAACTTCAATCCTGCTTTAATTTTCAGCTTCTTAGAATGGCAATGCAACATTCAGCCAACGGTTGAATGAGGTTTTATGTGATGGAAGTGCAGAAAAGGGGCATCCCTGGTATGTGTGCATAGAAGAGAGACTCTTGCAAGTAGAGTATCCATTCATTCTGCATTTCCTTGAATAAGTATTACATTTCTGTGTTGTGAAAAACCACTATGCTAAATGCTATTTGAGATGGGTTATCAAGCATGGGTCCTGTCTTCATGGAGCCTTAGAGTCTGGCAGGGGATTAGAGACCTGTGTAAAGAGTGACTGTAATAAAGGAGGAAGTAATGACTAATCCAACCTGTGTGATGAGTTGGGAGTTCAGCAGATGGGGTTTTTTGTTTTTATTTTTGTTTTGAGATGGAGCTTTACTCTTGTTGCCCAGGCTGGAGTGCAGTGGCACAATCTCGGCTCACTGCAACCTCCACCTCCCGGGTTCAAGCGACTCTTTTGCCTCAGCCTCCCGAGTAGCTGGGATTACAGGCACCTGCCACCACACCTGGCCAATTTTTGTATTTTTAGTAGAGACAGGGTTTTGCCATGTTGGCCAGACTGGTCTCAAACTCCTGACCTCAGGTGACCCACCCACCTCGGCCTCCCAAAGTGCCAGGATTACAGGTGTGAACCACTGTGCTTGGCCAGCAGATGGAGATTCTGAGCATGGAAAGACTTAGTTGGAGCTATGCCTTAAGATTTACCTGTTGTCGTAGTTCAGGCTGCTTAGTTTTTGCTATAAATACCGTAAACTGAGTGGTTTATAAACAACAGTAATTTATTTCTTAGATTTGTGCAGGATGGAAAGTCCAAGATCAAGGTACTCTGCAGATTTGGGGTCTGGCAAAGGCCTACTTACTGTTTCATAGACAGCCAGCCATCTTTTTGCTGTAACCTCATGTAGTGGAAGGGACAAACAAGCTCCCTCATTTATAAGGACACTAATCCCATTCATGAGACACAGACACAGACTATGGTACATGGCAACATAGTAGGATGGAGTGGGACTGGAAAGAGACTAAGGTTAAGAATGATTAAAAAATTGTTTTAGTAGTTAAGTGAGAGAATAAAGTCTCAAATTAGATCAGGTTCAGTGAAGAAGAGGTGGTGAATGGAAGATTCATGAGGAATTGCAAGGACCTGGGAACTGGAAGAGACAGAGACAACAACTCCATGCCTTCGAGACCACTGAAGGACGAGGGGCTGTCTGTTTTGGTTTGAGTTCAGTTTCAGGCGTGTAGACTTCGAAGTGTGGTGGAACATCTTGGCAAGTGTCCAGCCACCAGTTGGAAAATCATACTGGGTCTCAAGAAAGCTTGGGATATAAACTGATCAGCCATTTGCTTGGAGGTAATGCTATGAGACTAGGCAAGTTACACTAGGGAAACAGGTCATTGACAAAAGAGGGCTGAGAAACTGGCATTTCATTTGTGAGCTGGGACTAAGGTGCAAGGAGCACCAGCAAGAGGGACAGGAAAAGACGACATAAGACCACAGTATTCTGGTAATCATGGATGTTTCCCTCCGTGTGTCTCTTACAACAATTGCCACTTTCTCCCTTGCAGGACAGAGTGCTTGCAAGGCCATAAATCTACAGGAAAATCAAAAGAGAAGGTGTACTACAAAAAAGGGAAAAGAATATTTAATGTGCTTATCAGGGCTGTTTCAGGAGACTTGTGAAAGTCTGTTAGTTGAAGTTATAGTTATGTGATAAGGAAATGGAATTGGTGAGGATAGAGAGCCCTCTTTTACCCGCAAGAAATTAAACAGATAAAGATGGGAGATCAGTTACTAGGATGAGAGATGTGTGCAGCTGTGGTTTTTATTTAACACAATTGTAGACTTAATTCAGAGGTTCTGATAGTGTAGGCTGTGGACTTCTAGGTGTCCCCAAGACACTTTCAGGGGTTTGTGTTGTCAAAACTCTTTTTATAATAATACAAAACCCTTTTGTAATAATATTGAGAAGTTATTTACATTTCCCTTTGTTGACATTTGCACTGATGCTGCAAAGCAATTGTCAGTAAAACTTCTGATACCTTAGTATATGTCAAGGCACTGGCTACACTAGTAGTACTGGTGTTCTTCACTGCCATGTGCTGGCATCACAAATAATAATTCACTGAAGAATGTCCTTGACAAAGCACTAAAAGTAATGTTATTAAATCTTGACCCTTGGAGACCCATCTTTTTAATATTCTGTGTGATGAAGTGGGAAGTCTGCATAAAGCCCTTCTGCATGCTCTGAAGTCTGATGGTTATCTCGAGGCAGAGCACTTGTATGATTGAATTGCAAGCTGAACTCGCTATTTTTAAAATGGAATATTGCTTTTATTTGAAAGAATGACTGACAAACCATGGTTATTCTGAAGTAGGTATTTGGCACACCTTTTCTTCAAAAGGAATGAAATTAGCTTGGCACTTCAACTAAAAAAAAAAAGAGGCCGGGTGCAGTGGCTCACACCTGTAATCCCACACTTTGGGAGGCTGAGGCGGGCAGATCACATGAGGTCAGGAGTTGGAGACCAGCCTGGCCAACATGGTAAAACCCTGTCTCTACTAAAAATACAAAACTAACTGGGTATGGTGGTGGGCGCCTGTAATCCCAGCTAAGGCAGGAGAATTGCTTGAACCCAGGAGTTGGAGGTTGCTGTGAGCCAAGATTGTGCCACTGCACTCCAGCCTGGGCCACAGAGCAAGACTCTGTCCCCCCCACCAAAAAAAAAAAAAAAAAAAAAACAAAACCCTGGCAGGATTAGTTGCCAATGATAAAACTTGACATTTCAAATGAAAATTAGTTTTTTGGGGAAATTTTACATCTGTCGCATTGAGCTTGATGGTTTCCTGAGACTTTTCAATTGAGATCTCTGGTAATGTGATGTTTTGATATTATGTGATAAAATTTGTCAACAT